GCTCAGCTCCAGAAGTATGAATTATATATCTATAAATATGCTCATAAAGCAAAAAGCAGGGCAGCTCCAAGGCTTAAGTAGATTTTTTATATCCCCAGTGCTATTGATAGTTTAAAGAAAAGCACAACTCCATGAAAGTACTATATGTGTTAGATTAAAAGGCTAATTTTTAATTAATATATGCACACTTTCTGGAATGAGGCCAAGCTGGGCTGTTTGGTATAAGATTTCCAACCTCACAGACTTCAGTTCTATCAGAGCTCCTTCCAGTTTGGTGTTAAGTTTTTTGGGGGTTGGGTGGTTTTTTTTCATCTACGCTGTTGATGAACAAGTAAGTTTTGCATCTGTGTCACTGCAGAGGAAACAATTTTATCTGTTTCTCTTTTTTTAGTTCTTTGGCATTGTGTTGTCAAGAGGAGCTATTTTAAAAACATATTTTATATTCAGGAAACATCTATTCTCTGCTTGGGGGAGAAAGCACAAAGTAGGTGAAAAATAAATGTGGAAAATGGCTGTGAAATCTTTGGATTGCTAAAGTAGTCCGGAACTCACAGCATACCAGTGAACACTTTGAACAGGTGCTTAACAGCCAACAGAAAAAAAAAAAAAAAAGTTAAAAACAAACAAACAAACAAGAAAAATAAAATAAAATAAAAAAAAATGCACTCCCAGAAAACAACCTATATCATTCACAAGCAGAGTCTAAGTCTCACATGAATATTTGTTTGAGAGCTGTGGCCCAAACTTGTCTGCTTTTTTTTTTTTTTTTTCCACAACACAGAGCAATTTTGAAATTGAACCTGTAAGTTTATTCAAGACTGCAAAGCATTAATTTTGCAATTGAAAAATGGGTAGACATTGTGAGGAGAAAAAACTTGACAAACATAAAACCTCTCTCAAACATATTTCCCTTCATGTAAGGTTTTTCAGGGGCTCCTCTTTAGCTTTTTCTAGAGGCCTAAATCTATAAAATATTTGCTTTCCACAGCCAACGTTCAGGATCTAAATCCTGCATAAGATACTCTTGACAACCAAGTGGCTTTTTAGTTTTTTTTAATCTTTCAGTGTTCACCTTTAAACTGATGTGGGGCCTGGGCAAGAGGCACCACTTCTCCATCATCCAAGGGCCACTGGCTCCAGGCAGCGTCCTGCACCCTCAGCCATTTTTTCTGTGAAAGATTCCCCCTACACACACACTCATAATCTGCTGGTCATCAGACTCCCTCTCATGCCTCTTCCGTGTAGAAATGCAGAACAGCTTACAGAGTTGTTTGTGGGTATGAGATAAAAGTTTGCACTTACTCCATAGACATTGGTGATCATATTTCTCACACGTTCCTGGGGGCTTTTCAGGATTTAAATTCCCTGTTATCATTAAACAACACATTTCTCTTAGACTGAGTGGCATTTTTATCATGCCATTTTCAAGGATATTTTTATTCCTCTACAAATCAAATACTCCAAGAAGTATTCATTGTGCTTGCATCCTGTTAGACCTACAGCTTCAAGTTTGCTCTGAGTTTTTCATAGATGCCTAACAATGCAATAAAAGATTTGATACCTAGAGTGCTTTTTCTGACTTACTGTCACACAGCTTTATTTGGTCTCAGTTTCTTCTTTATAGTCAAGAAAAAAATTAAAAATCAAAACATTATTAACACCCTTACATCTACCCACAAAATACTCACAGAATTGTAACAAATTAACTCCGTGATGGAGAAGTGATGCCTAATGAAAGACCTTAAACAGTCTCTTAATTTCTTGAGTATGCAAGTAACCATAGTGTGGATCATTGGGCAATTTGGAATAAAAACTAGTGATGAGATTAAATAATTGTATCAAAATTAATCTGATGCTCCTGGTATGAAAGTTATTTCTCTCCTCACATACATTGAGAGATGAAAGCTTTGTAAAACTTAGTCCTGACTCTGTCTTATTGCCTTCCATCCAACAGACTTGCTGGCATCAAAAAGCTCCATTATTTTCTCCATCACTTATGTAAAGCCCCACTTATCATAGCAAGTCTATCAACTTCACTTAATATTTCAAGACAGTTGTGATCATTTTTATACTTACAGTAGTCTTGATCATTATCACAAGTCCTCGATAGAAACAAAAAGTATATAAGTATAAAACTATATAGATGCAAAGGCTATTGGGGCAAAAGGAAGGTCTTCATATTATATGTAAGAGATGTCTGATTCCTTTCAGAAAATTAGTCATTAACAGAACCAAAATAACTGCTCTTTGGACGAAAACTACCCAAAATATTGCTCCAATGAGTGGCAGATCAACTACATACTGATGCTGTAGGCCAATATAATAGCTTTTAAGAATAAAGGTACTTAAAGGCTCCAGATGAGCAATTAAAAGCTGACAAACTTTTTTTTCCAGTTGAGTGTCACAGATGATGAATGAAAATCACAGATGAGTATTGCAGTTGAGCAACAAAACATTGATCTTAAGAAATTGTTTAAAGGAACACTATCTGTCCCTGACTTTCTGGAACTTCAATTCCAGACTCATGCAATTTGATAAAATCCTCACTTAAATACTGTTACTTTTATTCATTTTTTTTACCAGGCTCACAGATGATCTTTCCCCCTATGGCATATTCCACGTTCATGCTGAGACCACCTGTTTGCATAGATTATAGATGCTCTACTCAAGCCATGGATAGGCCTTCTGGACATATATAAATCATATTACATGCTCTAGTTTCTACATTGCTCAGAAAACAGCTCAAATGCATGAGCACAAAATGTAGTGTAGCCATTTGGCAGACTACACTTTAGGCTTTTTTACATTTTTTTTTGAAAGCATGTAGTTTGGAGACATTGATACTTATTTCTTCATTCTCTCTGCAGTAACAAAATAGATATATGAACATACTGAGGAAGCTCAGAAAACTAAACAACGTGTTCAAATTGGCCTTTTGTATCTTAAATTAAAACTAGCATTTCATGAAAGTATGCAAAATACTGCATTTCTTATTTTGGCATAATTTCTACCCTGGTACCTCTGAGAGAATTCCCACTGTTTCAATTGATTAAACTGTGTCACCACTTAGTTTCCCATTAAGGAAAAGAATAAACCATATTGCTATTTCAGCTATCCAGATTTAATCAAACTGTTAAGTACCTTTTCCAGTATATTTCTATCTTCAATGTGTAATTTGTTCAAATATATTGCTCTCCAAATACATTTAGAAGGTATTTTGATTTTAGACTATATTCCTTATAGACATTCCATGGACATTACCAGCAGAATTCAATGGGAAACAAGTGCATGTAATATATAGGGTAGATTTGAGAGAGTAGAATTTTTGACCGTGATGTATTCAGCATTATAACAATGCCAAACTGTTCAGTAGCAGTTTTTAATACAAAACTAAAACCCAGAATTAATTATATAGAAACTATAATTCCTTTAGTGCATCCTCCTTAAGCAAAGGTGAGTATAAACCAAAATTTCTTGTGCATTAGGAATACTTCTTACTGAGTTGCACTCCTTTGAACAGATCTAGGTTATTCTCATGATGTCAGCTGAACAATTTAATTTATATTTTAAGCAGCTTACTTAAATGGCTAGGCAAAGAAAAATTATGCAAGAGAAAATTATTCACAAACTTTCAAAAACAATATTGTTCACTCTAAAAAAAATTGTTGATGACCTGTATATCAGTAGAAGACTATATAATCAGAACTAAAGGAATTAGAAAAATTAATAAGTTTCCACACTTTTTTTTTGGTCCACAATATAAAACAATGGAGTGTTAACTATCATAGACTCAAAAGTAGAGGTGCAGTCACATTATAATATAGAGACAACACAGGGCTATTACTCTAAAAGTAGAAATATTGCTGCTCAGGATCCAAATCATAGAAATGATGTACTGATTTTCTTGTTTCATTTGCAGCTTCTATTGTTGTAAGGTACAGATGTTGCATCTATAGCTTTATGTTCTACTTGAAGAGGAGACCGTAAGTCCACCTTGTTTTCAGCCCTCTGTAGGCAGGTAACCATCATGTTAGAAATCAGTAGAACTGATTGTAACTGTCTGCCAGTCAAGAAGTAATACTAGGTGTGAAGATAACTGCAGTACAATCCTGGGCTCAAGTACTAACTTGGTTGATCAAAGTCCTTATTCAGTTTTTTTGTCAATCACAATAAAATCTATCTTAATTTTTAATCAAATTATAGTAAATAAATATCAAGAAGAATGGAAGATGAAGATAGTACGGCACTAGTAGCCCCAAAAAAATGCAAGGAAAGGGACATTCCTAGTGTCAAACAGAATGCTAAAGGAAGATTAAAAAGAGATGAACTATGTGTAGAGCTCTGTACCTTCATGGACCCAGTAAGTACTTGGTTCTTATTTCATCTCTCACTTTCATGAACATTCCCACAATTTAAAAGCCAAACAGTGATCAAGAAGAAATGGATGAATGGAAAGTGCCTTAGGGAAAGGACTTATATACTGCTACAGAGGGTGAGTATATTAGAATGGCAGAGAAGAAATACCACCGTTATTCTAAATGAAAATAATCAGAAGAGGAAAAACTGGCAAGATGAGTGGTGGAAAATATATCTAGGAGAACACTGGTCTATAGCAGTCTAAAGTAATTAATTTAAATAGTCTTCTAACCAAATGTTTTAAAAAGATCACTACAAAAAAATTGAAGACCACAGAGAGTCACTTGAGAGTATCTCCAAAAATCAAAAAATTTAAGTCTGCAAAAATTCTGGGTATTTCACTGTACATACCTAGCATAGGTAGGAAATGGAACATGCACTTTAACAATGGCCGAGCAGAGTGGGAGGGAACAATGAAAGGCAGCCCCAGGAAAGTATGTTGGTAGTGTAGTTAGAGAGAGAAAGCTGATCCCTGACGGCTTTTCATAATGCCCAGATCCTCTCTCACCCTTAAGCCAACTGAGAATGGTGCATTGTGTCATTAAAATGTACTAATCTTCTTTTTTTTCTCTTTTCCATCCCAGGAGGTGAATTAGTTATCCCTCTACTTGTAGAAGACCCTTTAGATATCCCTCCTATTGCTACTCGTGCACCTTTCATTACACTTCCCCCTACCTTTCGCCCCCTCCTCACCATTATTGAGACCACCAAAGATTCCCTGTCCATGACCTCTGAGGCGGGGTTACCTTGCTTGTCGGACCAAGGCAGCGATGGTTGTGATGATGATGGCTTGGTGATATCTGGGTATGGCTCAGGGGAAACCTTTGACTCTAACCTACCCCCTACTGATGATGAAGATTTTTACACCACCTTCTCCTTGGTAACAGATAAGAGTCTTTCCACTTCCATCTTCGAAGGTGGCTACAAAGCACACGCACCCAAGTGGGAATCCAAGGACTTTAGACCTAACAAAGTCTCCGAAACTGGTAGGACTACTACCACGTCTTTGTCCCCTGAGCTGATCCGCTCCACAGCTTCGTCCTCGACTGTGATGGTTCCCAAATTGCCAGCCGGCAAAATGAATAACCGTGAGCTCAAACCCCAGCCTGACATAGTCTTGCTTCCGTTGCCCACTGCCTATGAGCTAGACAGCACAAAGCTGAAGAGCCCGCTAATCACTTCCCCCATGTTCCGTAATGTGCCCACAGCAAACCCCACGGAGCCGGGAATCAGACGGGTTCCGGGGGCCTCAGAGGTGGTCCGTGAGTCGAGCAGCACAACGGGGATGGTCGTCGGCATTGTGGCTGCTGCCGCCCTCTGCATCCTCATCCTCCTGTACGCCATGTACAAGTACAGGAACAGGGACGAGGGGTCCTATCAGGTGGACGAGACGCGGAACTACATCAGCAACTCAGCCCAGAGCAACGGCACGCTCGTGAAGGAGAAGCAGCAGAGCTCAAAGAGCGGCCACAAGAAGCAGAAAAACAAGGACAAAGAGTATTATGTGTAAAAAAGAATAATTATTTATATATAAATATATAAATACTTAATGAGATTTAACTGAGATATCAGAACCATTGCAGCAAACGAGATGATTGGGAGATATCGTTTGTGGGAAAAAGTATTGGGAAAAAATTTCAGCAGTGACTGTTAATGTCTAAGTCATCACTTGGAGTCAGCAAACTTTGCCCTAATGTATAATAAAGCACACTAAGCGTTCTGGAGATGGCGCGCACAGCTCTGCTCTGTTAGTGAACTTGGACATCTCCAAATCTCCTCCTCCGCTGAACTTTCTGCAAAGGTAGAAGACTTCATGGCTTACTTGTTTCATATCTCCAAGTGAGTCTTTAACAATGTTCGTGATCCCTGACTGTATCAATAATTTTTCAGTTTACTTATTTAAAAAAAAAAAAAAAAAAAAAAAAGAAGGAAAAAGAAAAAAAATACAAACATTAAACATCAAAGAAATATTGAACAAACTGATCTGGCCGTGTCCAGCATACACATAATTTTTCGAGATTGGAGGAGGGGAATAAAAGATTTTGGAGATTGTTGGTTTTTTGGTTTGGTTTTGTTTTGTTTCTTGAGTTGCTTTTCATTTGGTTTCTTTGGTTACTTTTGGGTGAGGGAGGGAAGATAGAGTGGAATGGTGTGGGGGGTGACCCAGGACATGACTCGAGAAGAAATCTCGGAAAAAAATTTCATAATAAATAAAGAGAGACTATTACCATATATGAACTCAAAAGCTACCCATGGTGTTTACTCTGCATATCTGGTTGTATTGTCTCTAGAATCCGTCATCTTGTAGTTAAGTTGTTTGCTAACAACGCAGTGAAAGTGTCTGATGAGTGGTGCTGAGGAAAACTGTCATGGAAAGCTGGTTCTCTTGGATCTGGCTCCAGTATTTGCAATTGAACTGAAGAGCAGATGGGTTTGGGTCTGTTCTGATCAGTCATTGGCTTTATTTGAGTATAGCACTCAGTGTGCATTAGACAACCAAAGTATGGTTAACAAGATTCAGAGATTCAAAAAAGAATGCTTAAAAGTTATTAACCATTCTGAGCTGAATATATTGTGCAAAAATAAAGGAGCCTTCCTCTGGGTTCTGGTTCTGTGACATTGCAATGCATGCAAAAATGATAATAAATCAGTTTAATAAAGAGATCAGAAAGACACCACTGGAGTTCAACTTGTGACAAGACCAATAAATGTCAGAAAAGCTAAACACTTGTAAAAGAATGCAAATTAAATTGTTTTTTTTGGCATATAACTGTTTTACATATGTAATATTTTAATTTTGTAGCTTGACATTTCAGATCATCTCTGTCTTTCCATTTGCCCTATTCTCCCTTTTCCTTCTCTTTTATATAAAAGAAAATAAATAAAGCTGCTGTGACACACAATAATAAAGAAAAATTAATTTAATAATATAATATATATATATACACACAGATATATTTATCATGGTATGTTTGATGGGACGGCTGGAACAGAAGTTCTGTTATGGTCTTAATGCGGAATGAGAATGTTCTTGAAGAACAGAGTAAAAAGAAACAGACAACAAAAGCAAACCTTAAAATGTGAAGGGAGCGTGTGTTTTAGCTTTGTCACAGTTACCTGTGTCAAAAAAAAATCTGAAATTTTGTTTACATATTTTACTACTATTTTTTTGCTAGTATAATTTCTATATGGATACCCTGATGGTGTATATACTGTTTTATGGTTAAATTGAGAATGTCTTATGTTTTATTTAACTTATTTAATTTGGTTGTTTGGTTTCCACATTTTCCTAGTTATTGTGAAAAGGATTATCTACTGTACAGAACACTAGCGAGGTGGTTTGACGGCCATGCCTATCATGTGCAAAAAAGCAGATGAGGGAGAGAGAGACAGAGAGGGAAACAAACACAAGATGGGTTGAGAACCCTGGGATATCAGAAATTAAAACTTTTGCTGTATGCGGATGAAAACTAATCAGCTGTTTAGGTTTAGAAATCTACTCTTGCTGGTGTTTATAAGTCGCATGAATATTTGACTTTGAAGAAGTTTCATCAGATACACACACGCACGTGGGAACTTAAATTCAAAATAACAGTCTTCTCAAACACTTAGAGAAGGCTCCGTCATGTTAACAAATATTTTCAGTGCGTGTATGTGTGCGTGTGTGGTGCGTGTGCGCGTGTGTGAGGTTGAGCTTTTTTCTTTTTTATTTTTTATACTAAAAAGAAAAAAAAGACAGGTTTTAAAAAGGTATGAAAGCACGATTTTAGATGACTTAACTGGCCGAAACTATATAAAAGTTGATTATATCTTGATGTCTGTAAAAGATTGCTGTTCTTGGAGTCTTGGAGTCTTGTGAAATGATTTCCTGCTTTCTTTCTTCCTTTCCTTTTTGCTTTTCTTTTTTAAGTTAAAGGAAAAATATTTACACTTTCCTTTTTTTGTGTAAGTTTCTATTGGACAGTTTTTGGAAACGTGCATTTCTGTATGTGGGCTACTACCATATCCCTGTTGCTTTTTGGACAACCTGGAGAATTTTTATTTGAGTTATCGTGATGTTATTGCTTTTTTTTCCTTTCTTTTTCTTCTTCTTTTTGATTCTTTTCTTTTCTTAGTTGCATTTTGTTTAAAGATATGCTTAGCAATAAAATGTTCTTCCCAAAGCCCTGGATGTTGCTGCGTTTTTATTTCCAAAAGACTTCAGGGAAATTCCAGACCTTTAAAGGTGAAAATATTCTGTGATGTAAGTATCCCCCATCCCACAGGAGTATCTAGCCACCAAATTACAGAATCACGTTCATGTTTGCGTTCTTCTGTTAGTCCAGTGAATCTTTTTTCTTTCCTTTGCAGGGATATAAATTAAACTTGAGTCTGGAGCCTCTCTCTTACCACTCCCACCACCTCAGTTGCATAGTTTTCTGTAATATGGGTTTCAGTTATCTTGGATAAAAGCAGACCTAGGACATTGACTTAGTATGCCCTTTCTTATGTGCTCCCTTTGAAGTATGTAGCTCTTTCAATGATGTTTATGGGATTCTGGATTCATCTTTGGCCAGGAGTCTGTGATGTGCTGCAGGAGGTGAATTCTTGGGGAGATTTAGATAGTTAATTTGATACAGAAAAATGTTCACATCATTTTAGATGAGGATCTAGCTTAGGTCCTCCGAATTTATATATCACCTTCCATGTACTACCTTAGGAACATCGTTTATATATTTTGGGTGCTAGGTGCTAAGGATCAGACTTGGTAGATGGTCTGAATGTTCACTTCTTTCCAGTTAATACCAACTACAGTACTGAATGTTCCTTGTCCTACTGGGCATTATAGTCTGATTCTGTCCATCATGCAAAATTGCCAGTATCCTGTCTAGTTTAGCAAGTTGTGCCGAACTTCAGTTCACAGCAGTAGTGTGGGGTTTTGACAGATTCAATCTTCCCAAGCTATCTGCAAGGTTTTTTACTTTTTACAGGCATCTGGAGGTCAGGCAAATGAGTGTTTCACAGCCCTTTCATTTTCAGCCAGGGATGACTTCACCTTTTTTTCTGCTAGGTGGAATCCATAGGTCTTTTGAGCAGTGTTTTCCATAGGTTTTGTTTACAGCCTAATTCAGCTCAGGATAAAATGATTGTTCAGGTATTGCCAGTGATTTTCTACATTGATTTTGCTCACATTTGCATACACGAGAGAATATGCATGTGTACATACATGTGAGGTTCTTTTACTGTTTTCAGTTCTTTTATGAATGATGTTTTGACAACTTACAGATTCTCACATGTATCAAACCCACAGGTTCTGATCTAATCTTCACTCATTTCCCTCCCAAAATCATTAAATTCCTGAGTGATGACTGGTACCTAATATTTACAGTACTGGAGCAATCAGCTGGCATGTGGGAGATATAGATCTGAACCTAAATATCTTTTCTAATATTCTAGAAAGTTTCCTTATCACCAAGCAGTTGGTGTTCTGAAAAAGTATTTTTTTCCTCATTACTTCTCTCAAAATCTGTTATACTTCATATCATTATGAAATACTATGTGAAACAAGAAAATTCAACCTGACTTACCCTAACCCTCTGGCTATAGTCATGTTTTTTCTCATTTCTTCTGTCACCTAATGACCATTTTATTACTTAGGCTAAATGAAAATGTCAGAAAGGAGATTTCATTGCTGTCTAAAAGGCTTGAAATTATAGTATGTCTTTGGCTCATCAGAGAACCACAGAATTGTTGAGATAGACCCCTGGAGATCATGTAGTCCAAGTACAACCACACCAAAGCAGAGTCAACTGCAGCAACTCGCCAAGGACTATGTCTATTTTTTTATATCTCCACATGTAAATGCCACAAGCTCTCTAGGTAACCTGTTCTGTATGAGCACGCTCACTGTGAGCATTTTTTGTTGTGGTTTCATGAAATTTAATTCATTTGTCCCCATTTCCTTTTACCCTTTTGCTGGGTACCATTGAAAAGATCCTGACTCTCTCTCTTCTTTACAACCCTTCAGGTGTTCATGCATATTAGTAAGATTCCCCATAAGCCTTTGCTTCTTGAGGCTGAGCTCTCCCACTCCCTCAGCATCTCCTTGTACAACATATCCTCCAATCACTTAGTCATCTTCATGTCTCTTTATCAGACTCACTCCAGTATCTGCAGCAGACACAACTGCCTTATCACCATCACTGAGCTAGGTATGTAGCTCTTTTCAAGGACTAGGGCTGGAGAGCTGCTCCTCTTCCCACCATTTTCTACTGGTAAACAACATCCCACTTACTGTGTCACTTTTTGAAGATCCTTCTCTTAGGAGGGATTTCTGTATTTCCAGAACTGTTCAGCACATCTCTGTTTATTGCACAGTTGCAGAGGTTCTTCATTGAGACAAGGCATGAAGATCTGAGCACAAATTGGTTTTAGCGTTCCCAGCCCTGGTGTTACAGAAAAGGACAAGTGAGGAGCAATGTCAGTGCTGGTTCCTTTTCTGACATTTCTGTTTGTGCTTCTTGTCTGGGAGGGCAGACATCCTCTGCAGTTGCCATGCCAGGCTGTTTTTCCTCCACAAGAAGTGAGAACATACTGATCCGACAGTTTGGTAATAATGATTAAAAGACAAATATCCTTCCTGTCAATTCCATAGTGAAAGTATCTTCAATCATAAGATGGTGATGACTCCCAAGGAAGGCAAAGACACATGAGTGAGTTACAACTAATGAATGTGACTTGACACTTAGAGCCAAAGTTAAGCATATTACTTCTATGGAGATGCAGTTTTTAGTGCAATCAGTCTGTGAGGCATTTGCAAGATCACAAAGTTCTGTCAAGGGCCCTGTGAGAACATAAAGTCACATGCAGCTGTTGCCATTTTATCATGCACCCTCCCTAGCTGCCAAGGTTGGCACTGGCTCCCTAGAAGATGTCTCT